GATCAACTGGACACAACTTTTGTCATTTTTGTTATTACTTTTCCCCAGTACATGCTTTTTAAAGAATCTTTTTTCAGCAGATGGAAGACACTTTAATTTAGTTACGATAGAAAAACCATTTCTATTCAACGTATAATGAACGAAAACGAACAAAAACAAGATGAATTTTAAAATTTTTGATCCAAATTATTCTAGAGGATCCTCTGTTCTATTCTTATCCTTGAGATCTGCCATGATTTCCATGTCCACAATCGTTACCACGATATGCACCAGGAGGGTCTTCTCTTTGTGAATTTGCTTTATCACTTATAAAAAAATAGTCTATTAGAGGTTAAAGAAATTTTTCTGCGATATGTACTTGGTGCCTTGTAAGAAACTTACATCTCATCTCCATTATTTTCTCGAAGATCAGTAACTCCTAAAACAAGTAAACCAAAAGCGAATAATAAGCAATGGGTGAGCTTGAAGCACAAAAGAGCTGATGAATGTTACATTCTCCGACATTTCGAGGGACTTGTTTCAGTTTAGAGTCTAGCTGTCAACACCTAAGAAGTTCGACTGATTCAATTCGGTGGGCACTGAAAGCCTGTCAACTTTTACAGTGTGCTATGTGAATAGTGCTTCTACTCCATTATGCACCTTCAGGTAATTATCTCCAGTCTCTTCTCCTCATACAAACGTCCTTTTTCCTTATTTCACATAAGCACTTTAGCTTTGTTTTGTAATGTTTGTTTTCATTCCTTTGAGTCAAACTTTTTGAAGTCTTTTGTTTTTATTTGCAGTGGACGAGAGACCATTCTTTCTGGGTCAAGATTCTTGTGCATTCCTGCTGTATAGATGCTGTTTTCTCCTGATTTCTGTTTGACATCGCATCTAGTCTTGTCTGTAACACATGCCAGCTTACCATGATAGCTTGGAGAACCTCTCACTGGAGGCCTACCCCTGTTGTGATAATATCGTCCTCTATTATGTCCTCGTCCTCTGCTATACTGTTATCTAGTTCCACGATAGGAACTTGCACTTTCATTCAAATCACTCTGTTCGTCGTTCTCATCATTACGTTGATGATAGGACTGGGTATTTTGGTGTGGGTGGGTGTGGGTGTGGGTGCGAGTGTTAGTGTGGGCATGGGTGGATCTTCTATTTGCTGACACCCACACCCACACCCTAGGTAGTAACTGTGCTGAGATTTTTAGAGAAATAAGTTAGCTGAATATAAAAAAAGCAAAGATGAACGTCTTTATTGAAAGTTCCATCAGAAACTCGAAGCGATTATGAACAAGAATAATTTGTTCGAGTTTCACTAACTGCACAATATCAGATATCCTTTCTACGATTTTTATTCTTTCGTAAAAATGAATTGGATAGGGGTATGGATGTGAATGTGGTGTTTGTTTTAATCCTCATCTACATACTCACAGTCACACATACTCACACCCCACGCTCATATCTATAGTCATCCATACCCTAATATACTCAGGAACAAAATTTTGATCAAAAACATGGTCTTGCAATGGCTATAACTATGGCCAAGTGCATCTAAATAACATCAAAATTTGAGGATATATGTAAAAATATATGCTCTATCAAATGAGTCTATTGAATCGAAAATGTAGGGAGTCGCGACTCCCTCAATGAATCAATGTAATTGATTAAAAGAACACAGCAAGCAAATAAGAAAAACAAGTTCAATATCAAGGTGTTTGATGAGGGCTATCGGAAGTAATAAGCAGGTTTTGAAAAGAGCTTATATAATCAGAATAATGTTTCTCGACGTCCTCAGGGGTAAGATCGAGTTCAGCTAAACTATAGACGTGACGGCCTTGTTTGCCTTGGGGGTTATCATTTAACCAAGTGTTCATAGCCATTTCGAATTCTTTTGACCAACGAAGTCCGAAATGATCATAGATACGATGTACAGTAGTGATCGTTTGTTTCATCAAATCAGTATAAGCAATATCAAATATTGGTATGTGCGATGTATTTTGTAGATGACGTGATCGTTGTCGAAACTCTAGAATATGTCCAGTCAATTGATCCAGGTGTCGAATTGTTCGCGTTTTCAACGCAGTTGAAGTTCGAGCATCAGTCTCATTAAAACTGGAGCCAGTAGTGGTGCGTATGAGTCGAAAGAATGATGGTAAAACTTCGTCAAGTCGTCGATGACACATGACTACTGCTGCATTTGGATACCGAGCAAATACTGTATCAAGATAAACTGAATGGAGAGGCCATTTTAATAACCAATGTGACTTCGGAGGATCGACTGAATTCAGCATACGCAAAAACATTTCATGATATTCATAAGCATAGGATTTATTCGTATCATCATAGAGCCATTTATCTATTTCAATTTGATTCGAAGTACTCATGAATGCCAATCGAGGAATGATGCCAGCTTGTTGCAATATATTCCTGTCTTCTTCAATTGGAAAAAGAGCATGAGACTCAGCCAATGAGCTCTTACGATTCATAAGTCGTTCGTCCAGTTGGAAAACCGTTCTTACAATGTCTGCTCGCCTTTGATGTTCAACTATATTTGACCGAGGTATTGGTGGAAGAGTTGCGCAACGCATGTCCGTTAGCAGCGGAGCACGACTATCCGCATCACAAGCTAGCAGATTGTAGAGTAATGTTGTACCTGTTCTTGGTAGACCACAAACTATCAATGGACCGGTATTGGGCAAATTATCACGTAGCAGTTCCCTGTTTGCTGCTGTATAGTTTAAAAACTGTTTAGATTCCGAAAACAGTTGATCGATGTCTGTTAACTGCAAATGCCGGCCAACGTCTGTCAGTAGATTGTTTTCAAGAATGGCTCGACGATTGATTTGAAATGCATGTAAAATCTCAGTATGAAAAGGAAACTGGCTCTTTGCTTCCTCGGTAAGATCATTCTCGTGCAGAACGATGTCATCCAGTAGTGAGAGATTCGTCACAATGGCTTTTTCCGATACACGGGCATTCATCCCGTCAATTATAAGTCCTATCTAGAACAGAATCAAAAAATGAATGAGCTGAATAGATATTGAAGTCACGACCTGACACTATAGCACTAATCTGCTTAGTAATCAGCATAATCTTAGAAATTGAAACCTGTTAAGAAAGAGCTTGTGTCAGGTAAAGATAAATTTTGTTTCATGAAACTCGATTGTCTTTGCCAATACCAAGGGAGGAACAAACGCATTTCAAGTGATTTCGATTGGTTTCTAGAGCAGATCGCAGCAATCAGATTGCAAGAGGTTGATTCACTCTTACGGTTAA